CCTAAAGCTCACAGATTACATAATGAACCAATCTATTACAGATTCAATGCTCAAAAAATTTCGAAACAAATCTAAAGGATTTGCATGGTCTAATTCAGTTGTTCCTTAATTTTTGCATTTATAATTGAAATTCATAAATAGCTTCTTGTCTAGAGCTATTTCATTTTCAACAATTTATATTCATGTAGGTTTGTGAAAAAAGGTACTTTAAAAAAGTTTCCTTCTATTTATGGACATAATCTCAGATAATAGGTCTCAAGTCTGTAACCTCATTTTCTATATATTGTTAGTCAGGAACATTTCTTAGAACCAAATCATAGTAAAAACTATGATGAAAATCTGTATTATACTGTATATAACTTTCTATACAAGGAATGATTTCTACTGCCTAGGGTGGACTTCTTAAGACTTTAAGAGGAATCATGTGGGATCCCAAATGGTCCTAATATGATCTGTGCTCTGTTCTTTACAAGGTTATTTTTCAACATGTCTCACTATACAATCAACACAGCATTCTAAGAACATAATTAATCCTTTAAGCAAAGGTTTGTGATATCATAGGTCTTTCAAATGAATTATAATAACATTTTTCCTCTTTAAATATAAACTTTTAAAATTTTTATATATTTTGGATGATACATTTCTAGAACATAGATCAGTAAGTCCTAATTTTATGAGGCATGGTGTTACTATCACTAAATCACTATCTTATTTAATGCATTCTTCCCAGCCTTTATCTTCTCTTCCTAGTCTTTGCTTCTATTTAATTACATCATTATTTGAATCTATGTTAGTGGCAAAAATTGGCATCCAATTCCCCTCCCTCCCCAAGAACACCTCTCCCTCACTGTATAGTAGACACATGGTTTAGGCAGGCTGAACCTACACTCTGCTCTGAGGGAGTAGGCCCTAAGTGCACCAAGCCAATTAGGGTAATCACATTCCTCTGACTACTTACTGTGATCTGGTCAAGGGTGATCTAATCAGATAAAAGCTCAGGACTTATAATCCATTGTTGTGGGAAGTGATCCTTTCTCCCAAGGATGTGAACAAAGAATGTGGCTTCCATTGTTGATGGTAGCAATCTTGCAACCAAGAGGAAAATCAGCATGAGAAGAAACCCCACAAAGGGAGAGAGGCGAGCCGGGAGAATCAAAGAGGTTACAGTAAGAACAAACCATAACTAAAAGCTATGATACTTCCACTTTTCTTTGTAGTTTAAGTCAGTTTGAAATTGCTTTTCTGTTGTCAGCAACCAAAAGCATTCTGATGAAACCCCAAAGAAAAGCATAGAAGAATATTCAGTATGCCATTTCTCAAATTCAAATATAATTGCCACTGGGATGGGATGTTTATTCTTACAACTTAGAAAAAGAAGCTGAAACTCAAGACCTGTCTCAGTATCCCACTCTCTTTGCCATTTAACATGGTTGACTAAAAATTTACATTTTAAGAAAAGCTTTTAACAGACGTCTATTTATATGCTTAAGATCACTTTAAGTTAAAATGTTAAATGTAGGAAAATCAAAGCTGTTTAAAGCCTTTTAGGCCAAATGAAACCAAGTGGAAAAAAATTTAAACATCACCCACAGTAAATTAAGATGTAAATACTAATAATTATGGGTTATCTTTTTAGTTTCTGGCAAAGTGTTTTTTTGTAGAGGTAGTAAAGAGAAACTGATTTGTGGACACCTAAAAAGTACTAAACAAGAATTACATGACAAGCCAGACAAGTCCAATTTTGAAATTTAAAAGATAATAATGTTGAACACAGTCTGAAGGGAAAAACTGAAGAAAGCATTAATTCCTCAACTACAGTGGATATAAAAATATTTTTAGCTACCTGGTCTTTTTTTTTAAAACCAGGGACCCAAGTGATCTACTTAACTCTACAGTTCCCACATTTTCTTTTTATTTATATGCAAATCAAATCATTTTTGACATTTGATCATTTTTGCCTTTTTTCAAGTTAAACTTTATTTTGGGTCAGTTATAAACTAACACTGTTTTGCTTTATAAATTAGAGATACATATGGTAAATACATTCTCCACAATTATCCATAACGGTTAAAAAGTAATACTGCCATATAAAATTGTCAAAAGCTTAAAATGAGAGAACCCAACCTATCTTTTTTCCTCACAAAAGAACATATATTTCATGCCAAGAACTTAGAGAAAAAAGCTAAATGAAAACAATGAAAATCTCATATACTCCTACTAGTTTACACCTAGGCTGTTTGTTTTTTTCCCGTGTGAATGGGGTGAGGGGATGTGGTGGTAATAACCTAAGAAAATACAAATAATCTTACTCAAGAATTAACTTTACTGGGGCCCCTGGGTGGCTCAGTCGGTTGAGCTTCCAACTCTCAATTTCAGCTCATGTCATGATCCCATGTGATCCAGCCCCATGTCAGGCTCTGCACTAAGTGTGAAGCCTGCTTAAGATTCTCTCTCCCTCTCCCAGTGCCCCTCTCCACTGTGCACACACTTTCTCTCTCTCTTAAATAAAATAAAAAAAAAATTAAAAAAATTAAAAAAATAAAATAAAATAAAATAAAATAAAATAACATAGACAACTTAAAAATGTCAAAAAAAAAAAAAAAAAAAAAGAATTGGGGCATCTCAGTGGCTCAGTTGCTTAAGCACCTGACTCTTGGTTTTGGCTCAGGATGTGATCTCACAGTTCATGGAATCAAGTCCCATGTTGGGCTCTGTGCTGAGAGCATGAAGCCTGCTTGGGATTTTCTCTCTCTCCCATGCTCTCTGCCCCACCCCCACCTCAAAAATAAACATTAAAAAAAAAAAAGAATTAACTTTATTTTTAGGACCTTTAGCATCAGTGCTTATGAAATTAATAATTTGATAAAAATCCCATCTAATCTAAGAGCTTTGGGTACTAAGGACACAATTCCTGCCTCATACCATGTTATAGGTGCTCAAGATCCAAACTGGCATGCATCGGAGAGCAACAGTCCAAACTACTGCAGGTGGGAAGCTTTTAAGGACACAGTAAATAGAGTGAGAAGTAGTGGTGACATTATTACATAACACCTGGTGTACCTCTCTTAATTTCTCAAGGAACCAAAATGTCTTCTGAGAGTAGGCAGTAGAAGTCAAGTTTCCCTGGTACCAAGTTGGAAAGGCAACTTCTTTGGTGGTTTAGATGTTTAGCACAATTGTGTTTTCATTATACCTCAGCTGCCATTATTATTATAAATCCCACATTTTCAAAAGTGGGAAAAAACAAGATGTATATTCAAAAGCGCCAAGACACTATAAGACTACATGGTATTATATCAAACCTCCAGTTATTTTGTTCTCATTGCAATTACCACTGGCAATGAGTTGGAGAAACACTGTAAAAGGTTGTCATAAATTCCAAAAGGACAAAATTTTATAGGAAACTTTAAGTTCCATTTAGAAATTTCAGTTTTTGGGGCGCCTGGGTGGCTTGGTCGGTTAAGCGTCCGACTTCAGCTCAGGTCATGATCTCACGGTCCGGGAGTTCGAGCCCCGCGTCGGGCTCTGTGCTGACCACTCAGTGCCTGGAGCCTGTTTCAGATTCTGTGTCTCCCTCTCTCTCTGCTCCATCCCCACTCATGCTTTGTCTCTCTCTGTCTCAAAAATAAATAAACGTTAAAAAAAAAATTAAAAACAACAAAAAAAAGAAATTTCAGTTTTTCCCCTACAACCCAGCAATTGCACTAGTAGATATTTATCCAAAGGATACAGGTGTGCTGTTTCAAAGGGGCACATGCACTCCAGTATTCACAGCAGCACTAACAACAATGGGCCAAGTATGGAAAGAGCCCAAATGTCCATCAATAGATGAATGGATAAAGAAGATGTGAAATACTCCGTTGTATATAACGGAGTATTACTCAGCAATCAGAAAGAATGAAATCTTGCCATCTGCAACAACTAGAGTGTATTATGCTAAGCGGTATTAGAGACAGACAAATATCATGACTTCATTCATATGTGGAATTCAAGATACAAAACAGATGAACATAAGAAAAGGGAAGCAAAAGTAATATAAAAACAGGGAGGGGGACAAAACATAAGAGACTCTGAAAGAGAACACTATGAGGGTTGCTGGAGTGGTTGTGGGTGGGGGGATGGGCTAAATGGGCAAGGGGCATTAAGGAGGACATTTGTTGGGATGAGCACTGGGTGTTAGACACAGGGGATGAATCACTGGATCCTATTCCTGAAATCATTATTACACTGTATGCTAACTAACTTGAGTGTAAATTTATAAATGAATGAATGAATGAAATTTCAGCTTTTCTTGAGGAATTTAACCCCACATTTTATTCTTAAATCCTATAGTTGTAGTTCTTTCCTTTCACATGTATCTTACACCTTTCTGAACTCAGAGCACTGAGACGGCTTTATCCACGCAATTTCATGAGTCATAACAAAATATCATCTTATTTGCAGGGATTTTGCTTTCTTTCATGCTAGTTCCCACTCTGACCATATAGTCATCTCCATATGGTCAGAAATAGGCATTTATGGGGCACCTGGGTGGCTTAGTCGGTTAAATGTCTGACTTCGGCTCAGGTCATGATCTGGCAGTTCATGGGTTCCATCCCTGCCTTGGGCTTGCTGCTCTCAGGTTACAGCCTAGAGCCTGCTTCAGATCCTCTGTCTCCCTCTCTCTGCCCCTCCTGTGCTCACAGAAGCTCTGTCTGTCTCTCTCTCAAAAATAAACATTAAAAAAAAAAAAAAAAGGCATTTAACAGTTTCTAACTGATTAGAACTGGGAATGGCTATGTGAGTCATATAATTCCAAGGCAGAGATAAATGATGTATAGTACAAAGTATTGTTTACCACTCAACAAGATCATTAGGAGAATAGTGACCTAAGAGATTTTTAAAAATGCTTTGAAATTAAGTATTCTTAAAAAGAAACCCTTCTATGTGGAATAAAAAAAAAATGAAGTTCTTTGTTTACCCAAAAGAACACGCCCCCTGCAAAATACCCCACAATTTACCTCGATAGTAGGCCTTTGTTATTGCATCAAATTCCTCTTGACCTGCTGTATCCCATAACATTAGTCTGACATCTTCATCATTAACTCTGAAAACAAGAGATGAATTTATGACATATGTAAAAGAAAATGTCTTCAGCAACATAACTTTGTACCTATTTTTATTTTTCAAAGATTTGAAGATTTTAAAACTACATTATTGGTGTTCACTCTGAAAAAATCTGAGTGCTTTTAAATATTGATACTATTACCAATAGTGAAACTAAAGGGGGAAACACAGTCCCTCAAAGCTATAACTTTATACATGATTTGAGCTTACCTGTCCTGTTTTCTCCTTTAACACCAGTCACAGACAGTGGTGGCTCTCAGACACTGGCACTGGCAAGGGGATTCCCTTAGGTTAATACTTGCTCTCCTCTTGCTATAAAATTCTAATGGGTCCTGGTGTACAAGTGATACATAAGAATAAGGAAGGAAAGAAATGAAAGAAGCAAAAGACAGAAGTGAAAGAAAGAAAGAAAGAAAGAAAGAAAGAAAGAAAGAAAGAAAGAAAAGAAAAGAGTGACAAAGGAAGGAAGAAGCAAGAGGAAGGAAGGAGCAAAAGCAAGCAGTTTACCTGCTTGGTTGCCCTTCAACTTATAAATTTACTTGTCATACACTCCATTGTCTTATTCCTGTTCTAGAAAGTCACTGCAAATGCTGCATTACCAAATACTGAAACACTGCTCCCAGGGAAATACAGAGTTAGGTTCTTGTAAGCCCTGGTTACATTCTCCCCAACCAATAAATATATAACCTTGGTTTTTTGTGATTCTGTTTAAAGATAGCTTATTTAATGCATATTGTTTATTCATTAACGTTGAAGTCAAAGCCAAAAGCACTGTAACTTACGCATACCTAATGTGGTAGGTATGAATGACGCATACCTAACATATATATTTTCTCTATAAGGCACATCATAGCGTTCTTGTGCTTAGGGAAACTAGATGGCACTATGCTTGGGGCCATGTTAAACAGCAACATCTTCAACAAAAAGCCCAAAAATGTGAGACAAAAACAGACACACAAAAAAACACTTGTTTATAATATGAGAGATAAAAAAGGAAGTCACCTTGTTTAGTCTAACCTGAGAACGTGCATGTAAGGTACCAAATATTTGCTGCTCTGTGCATATCAATGAATGACCACCAAAGCAATGAGCATATTGATTCTGGGATTACAAATAAATTTTAGCAAGTAGATGAATTTGCAAGTATGGAATTACAAATAACAAGAATCAACAGTATACTTAAGATATAAATATGGACTCCACAAATAACAAGGATCAACTATATGCTTAAAATGTTAATTTGGTTCAGATAACAAGTACAAAAATAAATACTATGAAGACTTAAAATGAACCCTTTTAAAATATCTGAGAAAGGAAGTAAACACAGAAGTATCTTTAAAAGAGGGAAATAGGGGCACCTGGGTAGCTCAGTTGTTAAACATCTGACTTTGGCTCAGGTCATGATCTCAGTTCATGAGGCCAAGTCCCACATAGGGTGAGCTTGAGCCCTGCTTCAGGTGAGCTCGCTTCTCCCTCTCTCCCCTTAGCTCACTTGCACCCTCTCTCTTAAATAAATAAATAAATAAATAAATAAGGATAATAAAATGCAAACTAGAAACTGAACAATCTTTAAAACAATGAGCACAATTATCTTTAATGCTAATGTCTACGCTAGTCAGATTTGTTTAATGTTACTTATTTCTGGGACTCCTGGGTAACTCAGTCAGTTAAGCATCTGACTCTTGATTTTGGCTTAGGTCATTATCTCACGGTTCATGGCTTCGAGCCCGCAATGGGTTCTCTGCTGTCAGTGCACAGCCCGCTTCAGATCCTCTGTCTCCCTCTCTCTCTGCCCCTCCCCAACTTGCTCTCTCTCAAAAATAAATACTTAAAAAATGCTTATATATATGGGCGCCTGGGTGGCTCAGTCAGTTGAGCGTCTGACATCGGCTCAAGTCATGATCTCGCAGTTCGTGGGTTTGAGCCCCGAGTCGGGCTCTGTGCTGACAGCTCAGAGCCTGGAGCCTGCTTTGGATTCTGTGTCTCCCTCTCTCTCTGCCCCTCCCCCGCTCACACTCTGTCTCTCTCTGTCTCTCAAACATAAACATTTTTAAAAATTAAAAAAAAAAAAAAATATATATATATATATATACATATACACATGCATGCTTGGGGTATGGGGGAATGGGCATAATGAATGAAGGGCAGTGGGAGATATAGGCTCCTAGTTATGGAATGAGTAAGTCACGGGAATAAAAGGTACAGCATAGAAAATGTAGTCAATAATACTGTAATTGCGTTGTATGGTAACAGATGTAGCTACACTTGTGGTGAACATAGCTTAACCTATAGAGAGTTGAATCATTTTGCTGTATACTTAAAACTAATGTGACATTATGTGTCGACTATACTCAAAATAAAAAAAATTAAAATAAAATTTCCTTAACAGTTCTGAGGACTAATGACAAAAAGTGTCACTCTTGACGTGTTTTAGAATCCAAATGGATCTACTAAAGTAAGATTTCCTTTTCATAGGAGTATTTAATCTTGCCAAATCTGCTCTTATTTCTTTAAAACAAATGATCAATTCTCGAACTTCTAGATAGTCTTAGGATCCCATAATATAAGAGTTGAAAACTATACTGAGAGACAGGTAATTTCCCTTCCACATAAAGCAAGCATGCCTCATTTTATTGCACTTTGCTTTACTGGGCTTCACAGATACTGTATTTTTTACAAATGGCAGGTTTTTGGCAACCCGGCATTTAGCAATCATATTAGCAGCATTTTTCCAACAGCATCTGCTCACTTTGAGTCCCTGTGCCACATTTTGATAATTCTTAGAATATTCCAAATTTTTTCATTATTAGCATATTTTTTATGGTGATCTGTGTATAGTGATCTTTAATGTTACTACTATAATCGTTTTGGCTGCAACAAATCACTTCCATATAAGATAGCACACTAAATGGAACAATGTTGTGTGTGTTCTCACTGTTCCACCATCAGTCATTCCCCCATCTCGCTCCTTGGGCCTGCCTACTCCGAGACACAGCCATACTGAAATTAGGCCAATTAATAACCTTACAAGGGCTTCTAAGTGTTCAAGTGAAAGGAAGACCCACACATCTCTGACTTTAAATCAAAAGCTAGGTGGCTCAGTCGGTTAAATGTCCAACTTTGGTTTGGGTCATGATCTTGCGGTTCGTGGGTTCGAGCCCCGTGTCGGGCTCTGTGCTGACAGCTTAGAGCCTGGAGCCTGCTTTGAATTCTGTGTCTCCCTCTCTCTCTACCCCTCCCCCACTCGCGCACACACACGTGCACGCGCGCTCTCTCTAAAAAATAAACATTAAAATAATTTTAAAAAGCTAGAAATGATTAAGCAGTGAGGAAAGCATATTGAAAGCTGAGACAGGCTGAAAGCTAGGCCTCTTGTGCCAGTAAGCCAAGCTATGAATGAAAGGAAAAATTCTTGAAGGAAATGAAAGTGCTGTCTCAGTGGTGCCCGGCTGGCTCAGTCAGTAGAGCATACAATTTGATCTCAAGCCCCACATTGGGTGTAGAGATTACTTACATATTTAGTTACTTACTATCTACTAAATAAATAAATAAATAAGCAAGCAAGCTACTCCAGTGAACACATAGAACGCAAAAAGCGAAACAGCTGTACTATTCATACGGAGAAAGCTTTTGTGATCTGGACAGAAGATATAACCAGCCACAACATTCCCTCAAACAAAAGCCCGATAATCCAGAGCAAGGCCCTAACTCTCTTCAGTTCTATGAAGGTAGAGAGGTGAGGAAGCTGCAGAAGAAAAGCCTGAATTTAGCAGAGACTGGCTCATGAGGTTTAAGGAAAGATGCTGCTTCTATGACATCAAAGCGCAAGGTGAAGCAGCACGTACTGATGCAGAAGCTGCAAGTTACCCAGAAGATCTAGCTGAGATAATTAATGAAGGTGGCTACACTAACCCACCAATTTTCAATGTAGATGAAACAGCCTTCTATTGGAAGGAGATTCTATGGAGGACGTTCATAACTAGAGCAAAGTCAGTACCTGGCTTCAAAGCTTCAAAGGACAAGTTAACTCCCTTGTTAGGGGCTAATGCAGCTGGTGACTTTAAGTTGAAGCCAATACTTATTTACTATTCTGAAAATTCTATGGCCCTTCAGAATTATACTAAATCTACCCTGCCTGTGCTCTATAAATGGAACCACAAGGCCTGGATGACAGCACATCTGTTTACATCATGGTTTACTAAATATTTTAAAATTCCTTCAAAGTATGACTGCTCATTGACAATGGACCTGGTCACCCAAGAGGTCTGATGGAGATGTACAATGAAAGAATGTTGTTGTCATGACTGCTAACACAACATCCATTCTGCAGGCCATTTGACTTTCAAGTCTTAGTATTTAAGAAATATATTGTGTAAGGCTATGGCTGCTACACATAGTAATTCCTCTGATAGATCTGGGCAAAGTAAATTGAAACTTTATAGAAAGGATTCACCACTGTAGATGCCAATAAGAACATCTGTGATTCACTGGAAGAGGTCAAATATCAACATCAACAGGACTTTGGAAGAAGTTGATTCCAACCCTCACGGATGACTCTGAAAGGTTCAATGACTTCCATGGAGGAAGTATCTGCAGACGTGGTGGAAATAGCAGGACATGGAGCCTGAAGATGTGATTGAATTGCTGCAATCTCATGATAAAACATGAGCAGATGAGGAGTTGCTTATTATAAATGAGCAAAGAAAGTGGTTTCTTAGCATGGAATCTAGTCCTGGTGAAGATGCTGTGCAGACTGTTGAAATGACAAGAAAGGATTTAGAATATTAAATAAACTTAGCTGATAAGGTAGCAGCAGGGTTTGAGAGAATTTTTTTAAAGTTTTTAATTTTAATTCCACTATAGTATAACATACAGCGTTATATCAGTTTCAGGTGTACAATATAGTGATCCAATAGGGTTTGAGAGAATTGACTCCAATTTTGAATGAAGTTCTACTGTGGGTAAAATGCCATCAAACAGCATCACATGCTACAGGGAAATCATTCCTGAAAGATAGAGTAAATCAGTCAAGCAAACTTCACTGTTGTCTTATATTAAGAAACTACCACAGCCACCCCAACATTCAACCACCACCCTGATCAGTCAGCAGCCATCAACATCAAGACAAGACCTTCACCAGAAAAAAGATTAAGACTCAGTGAAAGATCAGAGGATGGTTAGCATTTTTTAGCATACAGTATTTTTTTAATTTTTAATATTTAATTTTTTTAACATTTATTCATTTTTGAGAGTGAGAGAGACAGAGCAGGAGTGGGGGAGGGGCAGAGAGAGTGGGAGACACAAAATCAGAAGCAGGCTCCAGGCTCTGACCTGTCAGCACAGAGCCCGACGTGGGACTTGAACTCACACACCGCGAGATCATGACCTGAGCTGAAGTCGGGTGCCCAACCGACTGAGCCACCCAGGTGCCTGAACAATACAGTATTTTTAAATTAAGGTATGTACATTTTTTTAGACATAATGTTGTTGCATACTTAATAGACTACAGTATAATGTAAACATAACTTTTATATGCACTGTGCAACCAAAAAATTCATTTGACTTGCTTTATTGTGGTAGTCTGGAACAGAACCTACAAAATCTCCAAGTTGTGCCTATGAGGGACAGAAATCTCATTAGAGTCAAGCATCAGTTTGACTTTAAGAAGTAGGCAAGGTGCCACCAATAAATATAACATCAGATACAAGACAGAAAGTGGGGAGGGGAGTATGAAAAAAGGGGGGAAATGAGGAAGGGAAAACAGATGAAAGGTGAAAAAAGGCAGAAGAATAAAGATATACACAGGAATATGTTAACTAACTGGAATCTAAATAAAAGCTTGAAACATTAAAAAGAAAAAAAAAAGATACACACAGTAATGAGTATTTGAAAACCACCACAGACTGTCTCATTAGCCACAGTCACTAGACTCCTAACCTTGGACTATACTGTAATTAGTATTATTCCAGTGAAAGTCCTAGATATAGTTCACAAATCAAAACTTCATAAATCAAAACTCAGGGGATAAAATGGCCAAGTACATACTGGATTTGTCGCTCCAAAAAATCAACTCCAATGGTTTTCTTGTAGTCTTTTGTAAAAATGCCTTTGCAGTATCGCTGAATCATACTTGACTTTCCAACCGCTCCATTCCCTACAACCACCATCTTGATAGCCACTTCCATATCTTCCTCCAACATTTTTGCAGTTGTAAAGGTTTCTGAACCAACTTTAATTCCAGGTGATCAGATCTTCTCAAATCTGTGGTTTAAAATGAAATTATTTTTCATAACACAAAAATTGTACAAAATAAGCTGTAATTGTTTTATGGAGAAATAATTATATTGCACTGCAAGAATTTGTTTCCATGATGGAGGCCCCCTTACCATCCTGTTTAGATCATGTAAATTATTTGAAAAGAGGAACAATAATATTCATTTTTGAATCCTGATCAGTAGCAAAATGTATGATATCTAGGTATTAATAAAGGCCTAGATTACATAGTTCTACCTTTCACGGAGACTAAGATTAAGATGGTGAGTGTTAGAGTTGAGGTCTGATTTAAAGTTGCTCTTAGTGAAGTTACTGCTTGACCTCTTTAAACTTCAGTTTACTAAGGATATTTATCTCACAAGATTGTTGATCAATGGCACATATAAAGCACTAAGCATGATGAAAATCAAGCACTCAAAAAATGGTAGTTTCACACAACATAATAAATCCTCCATAGTCACCACCATATGGGTAACAAATAAAATATCTAAGAAAACTGCTTTTTCAACCTCACAAGTAATAATTACTATCCCTAGAAAAGCACCCCTAAGAAAGATTTTATATAATATACAACTGTGTGTCAGCACTGAACTCTTACAGTGCTTCACTGTTCAGGTTATAATGAGTCCTTTATAAATAATCTTATACCACACATTCTTTCTTTAGTTTCAGACTAGTTACAGTTACTCATATAATGAAAGTAATACAATGTGTACTGTCTGCATTTTAGATTGAAAAGAACAGAAAGTCAATTTCTTCCATTTCTTAAAATTACTAGTTAAATTTCTATTATACAATATTATATTCCAACTACCTTAACTGAAAATCCATCTATACAACCATTACATAAAACAAGTCTGAAACATGAAGAACATTTCCCCCATCCCCCACCACGGAGTCTCAGTAATTGTCCCTACTGCTTCACAAATTTGCACAATCATAAGAATCATCTAGGAGGATTTGTTCAAGTACAGGTTCTAGGTCTCCACCTCAAACATAATTAAATGATGTAAAAAAAAAAAAGTGTAAGAATGAAAAGACGACTATGGTAAGAGCAAAAATACAGGTAAATACAAGACTTCTCTTGAATGTTCTAAATTATGTTGGACTCAAACACAATTGTGTGGTTTTCAGTATGTATAGAGAAAATATTTACGATAACTAATTATAAATGAGAGAAGATAAAGGAATGTAAAGGAAAGTAAAGTTTCTATGCTTCACTTGAACTGGTAAAATGTTGACTCCAAAAGACTGTGATAAATTATATATATAAGTGTATATATATGTGTGTGTATATATATAAGTGCATATATATGTATATTACATGTATACATATATACATATGTGTGTATACATATATTTATACATACACATATGTACGTACATAGTGTGTGTGTGTGTGTGTGTGTGTATATATATATATATATATAGTGTAATATCCAGAGCAACCACTGAAGAAGTTACAAAGAGATATACTTAAAACAAAATTAAAGTCTAATAACAATAAAACAATCAGAATCTGACATTTATAGAACTGTCCACACAACAGAATATACTACTTTTTAAGTATCTATTAAATCTATCTACTAAATATATACCAAGATAAAACAAATTGCAGGTGATTTAAAAAAAAAAAAACCTCAACAAACTTAAAATAATGGGACCACAATGCAGTCGAACTAGAAATAATTAACAGAAAACAGAAAGATAACAGGAAAATCTCCAAACATTTGCAAACTAAAAACAATGTGTGAGCCAAAGACTGAAGCTGAAGATAATTTTTTTTTAAGAGAGAGCATGAGTGGGAAGAGGGGCAGGGAGGGAGGGAGAGAGAATATCTTAAGCAGGTTCCATGTTCAGTGTGGAGCCTGACATGGGGCTCGATCCCATGACCCTGGGATCATGACCTGAGTCGAAATCGAGAGTCTGGATGCTCAACCGACTTGAGCCACCCAGGTGCACAAGAAAAAAAATTTTTTTTAATTTTTAAATATTTAAATAATTTTTAAATAATTAATTGAATGAAAAGGAAAATACAACGTGAAAATCTGTGAGACATAGCTAATGTAGTGCTGAAAGAGAAAATTTATAGCACTAAATGCTTACCTTAGAAAAGAAGAAAAGTCTCAATCATTTAAACTCCCACCTCAAGAAACTAGAAAAAGAGCAAAATAAACCCAAAGCAAATGATGGAAATAATAAAGAACAGAAATCAATGAAATTGGAAACAGAAAAACAGGGAAAATTAAACAAAAAACTGTTTCTTTAAAGATCAGTATAACTGACAGAAAAAAAAAAAAAGAGAATACACAATTTACCAATATTAGGAATAAAATCAAGAATGTCATGGGGCGCCTGGGTGGCTCAGTCGGTTGAGCGTCCGACTTCGGCTCAGGTCATGATCTCACAGCTCGTGAGTTCGAGCACCACGTAGGGCTCTGTGCTGACAGCTCAGAGCCTGGAGCCTGCTTCGGATTCTGTGTCTCCCTCTCTCTCTGCCCCTAACCCACTCGCATTCTGTCTCTGTCTCTCTGAAAAATAAACAAACATTAAAAAAATAAAAAAAATTAAAAAAAAAAATCAAGAATGTCACTATGGACTCTGTGGACTCCAAAGGATAATACAACAGACAACTCTACACACATAAATTTGACAACATAGATGAAATAGACCAATTCCTTAAACAGGATTAACTACCACAACTCACTCAATATGAAATAGATAATTTGAATAGCCCTATAACTATAAAGGAAATTGAATTTGTAACTTAAAAACTCAAAGAAAAATCTCCAGGCTCAGGTGATTTCACGGGAGAATTCTACCAAGCTTTTCAAGAACTGACACCAATGATACACAATCTCTTCCAGAATACTGAAAAGAGGGGAACACTTCCCAACTTATTTTATAAAGCCAGCATTACCTTGATACCAACACCACACAAAGACAGTACAAAAAAGAAAACTGGACAAATATCCCCTCATGAACACAGACACACCAAAGTCCTCAACAAAATATTAGCAAGTCAAATCCAGGAATATATAAAAAGAATTACCAGGACCAAGTGGGCTTTGTTCTGGGAATGCAAGGGTGGTTCAATACCTAAAACCAATCAGTGTAATCAACCATATTAACAAAGCAAAGAAAAACCTCATCACCATATCAACTGATACATATATCACACGAAATATATAATAAAACTCAACATCCATTTGTCAGAAAAACAGCAAACTAGAAACACAAGAGGACTCCTTCAACCTGATTAATGGTGTCTATTAAAAAACTATCCAGCTATGCAGCCGCTCTGGGAAACAGTGTGGAGGTTCCTAAAAAATTAAAAATAGACCTACCCTATGACCCAGCAGTAGCACTGCTAGGAATTTACCCAAGGGATACAGCAGTACTGATGCACAGGGGCACTTGTACCCCAATGTTTATAGCAGCACTCTCAACAATAGCCAAATCATGGAAAGAGCCTCAATGTCCATCAACTGATGAATGGATAAAGAAATTGTGGTTTATATACACAATGGAGTACTATGTGGCAATAAGAAAGAATGAAATATGGCCCTTTGTAGCAACATGGATGGAACTGGAGAGTGTGATGCTAAGTGAAATAAGCCATACAGAGAAGGACAGATACCATACGGTTTCACTCTTAATGTGGCTCCTGAGAAACTTAACAGAAACCCATGGGGGAGGGGAAGGAAAAAAAAAAAGAGGTTAGAGTGGGAGAGAGCCAAAGCATAAGAGACTCTTAAAAACTGAGAACAAACTGAGGGTTGATGGGGGGTGGGAGGGAGAAGAGGGTGGGTGATGGGTATTGAGGAGGGCACCTTTTGGGATGAGCACTGGATGTTGTATGGAAACCAATTTGACAATAAATTTCATATATAAAAAAAAAAAACACAACCAGCTAATATTATATACTTAACTCTAAAAACCTGTTGTTTTTTAATTTTAAGTAAACTCTACCCGCAACATGGGGCTCAAACTCATGACTCTGCAATCAAGAGTCACAAGCTCTACTGACTGAGCCACACACCTGAAAGTGTGACTGTTTTAACCCTTAGACTAAGAACAGGGAAAGGATCTCTACTCTCACCACTCAAAGTTCTACATTATACACAAAGTTCTAGCCAGAGAAACAGGTGACAAAAAAACAAATAAAACACAGATTAGGGAAAAAATGAATAAAAGTGACCCTACTCACAAATTACATGACTGTCTTTATAGAAACTTAAAGGAATTAAAAAAAAATAATCCTGGAACTAATAAATCAGGTTAGCAAAGGCACAAGATACAAAAACAACAAACAACACTGAACTGTATTTCTATACCCTAACAATGTACAATTTGAAAGCAGGAAACAATATTTTTTTAAGTTTTATTTATTTAAGTAATCTCTATACCCAACATGGGGCTTGAACTCACTACCCTGAGATTAGGAGTCACATGCTCTTCCAACTGAGCCAGGCAGGCACCCTGAAACCAAAAATTTTTACGTGACATTTACAAGAGTTCCAAAAAAAATTAAATACTTTGGTATAAATCTAACAAAACACGTACAGGATCTATATGCTGAAAACTATAAAACACTAATGAAATAAACACCTAAATAAATGAGAAGATATGCCATATTCACAGAGTGGAAGATTCAACAAAGTAAAAATAGCACTTCTCCCCAAATTGACCTATGGTTTAATGCAATTCCAAAGTACCAGCAGGATTTTTTTTCTGTATTTAAGACAAGCTGATTCTACATTTATTTTTATTTTTTTTATTTTGAGAGAGAAAGTACAAGCAGGGGAGGCAGAGAAAGAGGGAGAGAGAGGATCCCAAGCAAGTTCCACACTGACGGTGCAGAGACTGATTCAAGGATCAAACTCACAAAGCATGAAATCATGACCTGAACTGACAGCAAGAGTTGGTCCCTTAACAGACTGAGCTACCCAGGTATTCCAAGACAAGCTGATCCTAAACATTATATGGAAAGGCAAATAAACTAGAATAGGTAACACAATTTTGAAAAAGAATAAAATTGGAGGAAATCATACTAGCCAATTTGAAGACACCAAAGAGCTATACTAATTAAGACAGCATGATACTGGCAAAGACAAAGATACATAAATCAATGGAACAGAGAGCCCAAAAACAGACCCACACAAATTCAGTCAATTGATTTTCAACAAAGGTGCAAAAACAATTCAATGGAAAAAAGACAATGTCTTCAGCAAATGGTGATGGAACGATTGGACATTCATATGTAAAAAAGCAAACATCTGCCTAAACCTCAAAATGGATCAAAGATGTAAAAGTAAAACTATAGGTGCTCTCTCAAAAATAATAAACAAACATTAAAATAATAATAATAATTTTTTTAAAAAAGGGACTCCTGGGTGGCTCAGTAGGTTAAGCATCCAACTTCAGCTCAGGTCATGATCTCCTGGTTTATGAGTTCAAGCCCCACATCAGGCTCTCGGCTGTCAGCTCAGAGCCTGTTTCAGATCCTCTATCTCCCTTTCTCTCTGCCCTTCCCCCACTCATGCTCTCTCTCCTTCTCTCTCTCAAAAATAACAAACATTTTTAAAAAATAAAATAAAAACAAAAATATAGGGGCACCTGCGTGACTTACTCAGTTGAGCATCAGACTCCTGATTTCAGCTTAGGTCATGATCTCACAGTTTGTGAGTTCCAGCCCTGAATCAGGCTAGCTGCTGTTAGTGCAGAGCCAAGCCTGCTTCAGATCTTCTGTCACGCTCTCTCCCTACCACTCCCCTGCACTCTCACTCTCTATCTCAAAAATAAATAAAACGTTTTAAAAAATAAAATAAAACTATAAGGGTGCCTGTCTGGCTCAGTTTGGTAGAACCTGTGACTCTTGATCTTGGCATTGTGATTTTGAGCCCCATGTTCGGTGTAGAGATTACTTAAAAATAAAATCTGAAATAAAATAAAAATAAAACCATATTTTTTGGAAGAAATATTTTAGAAGGTGTAAATCTTGACCTGGTGTTAGGTAGAGTTCTTAAAAGGAAAAATTGATAAATGAGACTTCATAAAAACGAAAAACATTTGCTCTGGAAATGATGCTGTCAAAAGAACAAAAAGACATGCTACAAACTACAAGAAAGTATTTGCAAAGCACATATCTACCAAATAACTTGTTTCCAGAACATATAAGGAACCCTCAAAGCTCAACATAAGAAAAAAAACTCGGGGCGCCTGGGTGGCTCAGTCGGTTGGGCGTCCGACTTCAGCTCAGGTCACGATCTCGCGGTCGGTGAGTTCAAGCCCCGCATCGGGCTCTGGGCTGATGGCTCAGAGCCTGGAGCCTGCTTCCGATTCTGTGTCTCCCTCTCTCTCTGCCCCTCCCCCGTTCATGCTGTGTTTCTCTCTGTCTCAAAAATAAATAAACATTAAAAAAAATTTTTTTTTTTAAAAAAAAGAAAAAGAAAAAAAACCTCAACATAAGAAAGCAAACAACCCATTTGGAAAATGGGCAATACCCTTGGCCAGATACTCATCAAAGATTATACATGCCAAATAAGCACATGAAAAGATATTCAACATCGTTAACCATTAGTTAAAGACACATCAAAATCATGTGATACCACACGTCTATTAGCATGGCTAATTTAAATTTAAAATTTAAATTTACTTTTACATTTACATTTAAAATTACTGACAATACCAAGTGCTTAGGAGGATGTAGAACAACAGGCACTCTCTCACACATTGCTGGTAAGAATGCAAAATGATACAACCACTCTGGAAATCAGCATGACAGTTTCTTATAAAGTTAAACATATTTTATATGACCCTGCAACCCACTCTTAGCAATACCCTAAAATGAAAACTTACATTCACACAAAAACCTGTACATGAATGTTTATAAGCAGCTCCATTTATAATCACGAAAAACTGGAAACTCTCCAAATGTCCTTCAGTGGGTGGATGTATAAACAACTGTGGCACATCTACCTAATGGAACACTACTTAGCAATAAAAAAAGAAAATTATTGATACACACAACAATTTGGAGGAATCTCAAAGACATTAAGCTGAGTGAAAAGAAGTCAGCATTAAAGGTTACATATTGTATGATTCCACTTATATGACATCTGGAAAGGACTGGTGATTGCCAGGGGTTAGGGGTAAGGGAAAAGATATAAAAGGACAGTATGAGTTTGGCAGAGATGGGGCGGTGGTAAGAACTGTTCTATAGTTCAGATTGTAGTGGTGTTTGCATTAATCTAAAATTCATAGAACCACAAAGCCCCTAAAAAGTCACTTTTACCATTTAATTTTATTTTATGTTTGTTTATTTATTTATCGTGAGAGAGACAGAAAGAGAGAGAGAGCGCACGAGTGAGCACGAACACACAGGTCAGGGAGGGAGAGAGAGGAGAGAACCTCAAGCAGGCTCCAAGCACAGCACAGAGCCCAATGCCGTGCTGGATTCCATGACCTTAGGATCATGACCTGAGTGAAAACGAAGAGTCAGAGGCTCAGGCAACTGAGTCACCCAGGTGCCCTTTATCATATAATTTTAAAAACAAAATTTAAAGGGACACCTGGGTGGCTCAGTCAGTTAAGCCTCCAACCTTGGTTTGGCTCAGGTCATGATCTCAGGGTTGGTGGAATCCAGCCCCTGCATCAGGCTCTGAGCTGACATTACAGAGCCTGCTTGGGATTATCTCTCCCTCTCTCTCTTTGCCTCTCCCCAGCTCATTCTCTCTCTCTCTCTCTCAAAATAAATAATAAGTTCTTTTTTAATTTAAAGAAAGTGCAATCAGATTTTAACGCAGGCAGTCTGACTCTTGTGGTTGATTATCAGCTACTACTACTGTCTCGACTTAAGGCACTATATCAAAACAATTAAGTTCTTAGAAAATAAGCATAGGGGCGCCTGGGTGGCGCAGTCGGTTGAGCGTCCGACTTCGGCCAGGTCACGATCTCGCAGTCCGTGGGTTCGAGCCCCGCGTCGGGCTCTGGGCTGATGGCTCAGAGCCTGGAGCCTGTTTCCGATTCTGTGTCTCCCTCTCTCTCTGCCCCTCCCCCGTTCATGCTCTGTCTCTCTCTGTCCCAAAAATAAATAAACGTTGAAAAAAAAAATAAGCATAAATCTGGGTATGATAATTAAAAAGCTTACAGTAATGCTTTACATAAATACTCTTTCCCCCAATTTAATTTTAAAGATTTACCCAACCAATGCAATCTAATAAACTAGAAAAGAAAAATATGAGCTAAGTCGCTGATTAAAAGGGTTGTCTTTTTCATCTCAGCCTGTACTTAAGTACAGTACGATTATGTTTATAACAACACTGAAAAAACTTGTTAGGTTCAGTGAAATTACCCAGAAGACGTTAGGAGTTATATAAAACCTAAAGAAGTACCCGGCCCTTTTCAGACTCTGCTGACACTCCTGATAGTGAAGTTAATACTCTCACACACCCTCAGGTTCTTACGTCTGGGAGCTGCTGAAGGCTCCTCGGTTCTCCGAGTTAAGAAATTCTGCGGCAGCCAGTGTAAATGAAATAGTGCAGTCTGGCTCATTCATATTCTAGCAGTCACTGAGCGAGAAACTAGGGAAGGGTGGGGCCGCGGGTAAGGAGGGGGCCCCTCCGCAAGGAGGAGGGGGGCCTAAAAGCCGGGGTAAAGCCTGGGACCCTCCTACCCATCACACCTCACCCGGCACTTAACGCCCCCTGCCGCTGTGTCTCCCGGCCGGGGTCGCCCTTTCCCCACCTGGGGACTGGGGAAAGACGAGAAGCTGGGTGCTCAGCCAGGCTGGAGGCCAGCGCCTCTCCCCCGCGCCTTCTCGCTCCTTCCCGCCCTAAGGGCAATTCCAGGGACCCACACCCTGGGAGCCCCGGCCGCGGGGCGGGGAGAATGGGTGCCGGGCAGGAGCTGCCGCCCACCTCCTCCAGCTGGAACTTGGGCACCGCGCTCCGAGGCGGGGGAGAGGGCGCTCAGGGGCCGGGGGATGGGAGCACGGGCCTGGAGGCCCCTGTCCCCGACACCCCTCTCCAGTCCCCGGAGTACGGCACATCCCGGGACCCCGGGGAGAAGTGGGTCCTTCCCCAGCAGAGCCGGGGGAGTCCTGAACCGCTGGAGAGGGCGAGTGAGAGCCGCGCGGCTGCCCGGAGTGCAGGCTGCTACTCACCGTCCCCGCTGGCCACGGACCCGCCGCCCGGCGCGACCGGCTCCTCCTGGTCGCGGCGCAACCGCTGCCGCCGCCGCCACCTCCTCCTCCTCCTCCTCCCAGCGCGCCAGCTCCCCCCGGCGGGGTCGCCCGTCTGGCTCGCGCCCTCTTTCACTCTCTTAAAAATGACTATGATTTTTTTAACGAACTTTATTGCCAGCCAGGGCTCAGAACGAGCGGCTCAGCACGAGCGACTCAGCAGCAACTCTGGCAAGGATGGTGGGACGCGGGAGACTCGACTCCCCTCATCTGTGGACGCGCCGCTCTGCGGAGCATGCGCTGGGCTGGTTCTGCGCATGCTCCGCGCGGACCGGTCCCCCCGCCCTGCTCCACCCGCGTTCTGGCTGGTTCTCGGGGAGGGCGGCTCTCCCGCGTTCCCGGCGGCTCTTCTGCGTTCCCGGTGCGTCTGGGGGAACCCGGTGTGCAGTGAGGACCGCAGCGGCGGGCGGGAGCTCCTAGATCGTGGATCCTAGTATAGCACTGACCGAGGAAGGTCCGCATAGGTTTCGCCTACTAAGTGATCAGACTTCCAGAGTACTCAAAGGACTTGCCCTGCCTTGGACACACACCTTTTTTTCTCCACCGGATGACATCCAAGTGGTAGAGTGAGCAAAAAATGTTGAGCAAAACTGAAAACGCACTCACAGTCCACCCGTTGCAGCTGGAGAGAGTAGAAGTCGGAGATGGTTAACAGTTGAGAGAACCAAACCAACAATTAAAAGTTCCCCCTGAAAGCAATCTAAACTGCTTCTGTTGTTTTTATATTTCACAATACAATAGAATAGAGGGAATAAAGGAAGATACCAACTGTTGGCAAAATACTCCAAGGATGTAGAGTAACTGAATGCATCTACCCTGCTTCTGGAAAGTAAACTAGAACAACTCCTTTAAATAACAATTGGGCACTGTTTCCTAAAGAAGCGTACCCTATGACCCAGCAGTTCCACCTCTACTAATCCAGCCAAGAGAAATGAGTACTTACCTTGCACCAACACGGCAAAAGAATGTTCACAACTGCATTTGTGTTAATAGCCCCCAAATGGAAATAACCCCAAAGACCATAAACGATAGAATAAATTACCTAATTCACACAGTGTTCATGCAATGGAATACTGTGCAACAATGAGAAGAATAACCCACAACTACCGACACGAAATGGCTTAACTGCAGAAATGTAAATTTGAACAAAAAGTAAGGCACAAAAAGTACTTAATGGGTAAGACTTTTTCAGCACAAAAACAGGGGGAAAAAAAACCTCTAAAATTTAGGATAATGGTTACCGTTGCAGGAAAGGGATAGTGACTGCGTGAGGGATTTCCAAGGTGTTAGTAAGGCTCTCTCTGTTGATCTTGGCACTAGTTACACATATGTGTTCATTTGTAAAAATTCACCAAATTGTACTCCTATGCACAGTTTTCTGTATGTGAATTATATTTCACAAGCAGTAGTTTTTTTTTTTTTTTTCAACGTTTATTTATTTTTGGGACAGAGAGAGACAGAGCATGAACGGGGGAGGGGCAGAGAGAGAGGGAGACACAGAATCGGAAACAGGCTCCAGGCTCTGAGCCGTCAGCCCAGAGCCCGATGCGGGGCTCGAACTCACGGACCGCGAGATCGTGACCTGGCTGAAGTCGGACGCTTAACCGACTGCGCCACCCAGGCGCCCCAAGCAGTAGTTTTTAAAATTAAAAATTTTTAATTTCAAATGTTTTACCTATAATTGCAATATTGTTTTGTAAACATAGTGGTTATTTATAGGAAATTTAATGCCAAGTAGCCAATGGATTTATCTCTAGGATTTGGTTAGTAGTCCCTTAAACTTGAGTAATGTACTCACCCTCACCCCCTTTAAAAGAAAAGGAAAAGCTTCATTAAGAAATGAGTAAAGGACTTAAATAGACATGTCTTCAAAGAAGGTGTACAATGACTAATAAGTATATGAAAAGGGACTCAATATCACTTATCATTAGTAAAATGCAAATCAAAACCACAATGAGATACTACTTCACACCCATTAGAGTGACTGTTATAGGGGCGCCCAGCTGGTTCAGTCCATTGAGGGTCTGACTCTTGATTTCAACTCAGGTCATGATCCCGGGGTCCTGGAATCAAGCCCAAAGTTGGGCTCTGTGCTGAGCACAGAGCCTGCTTAAGATTCTCTCCCTCTCTCCCTCTGCCCCTCTCCCCCGCTCTCTCTTTAAAAAAAAAAAAATTGGGGCGCCTGGGTGGCGCAGTCGGTTAAGCGTCCGACTTCAGCCAGGTCAGGATCTCGAGGTCCGTGAGTTCGAGCCCCGCGTCAGGCTCTGGGCTGATGGCTCGGAGCCTGGAGCCTGTTTCCGATTCTGTGTCTCCCTCTCTCTCTGCCCCTCCCCCGTTCATGCTCTGTCTCTCTCTGTCCCAAAAATAAATAAACGTTGAAAAAAAAAATTTAAAAAAAATAAATAAATAAATAAATAAATAAATAAAATTAATTAAAAAAAATAAAGATAAATTGCTATTATAAAACAAAACAAAACAGAAAATAGCAAGTGTTGGCAAGGTTCGTGAGAAATTGCAACCTCTGTGCACTGCCAGCAGGAATGTAAAATGGTACAGCCATTATGGAAAACAATATGGCAGTCCCTCACAAAAATAAAAATAGAATTCCACTTCTGGGTATATACTCAAAAGAATTGAAAGCAAGGAATCAAACCAATATTTGTACAACCATGTCCATATCAACATTATTTACAGTAGCCAAAAAATGGTAGCAGCCCAAATGTGTATCAACAGATGAATTGATAAAGTGTCATATAAATATGACATTTATTATATTACTCAGCCTTAAAAAGGAAGGAAATTCTGATACATGGTATACCATGGATGAACCTTGAAGACATCGTGCTGAATAAAAGAAGCCAGTCGCAATAGGACAAATAATGTATGATTCCACTTATAGAAGGTATCTAAAGTAGTCAAATTCATAGATACACAAAGTAGAATCATGGTTGACAGAGGGAGAGTGGAGGGGAGAATGGGGAGTTAGTATTTAATGGGTACAGTTTCCATTTTGCAAGGTGAAAAATGTTCTGGAGATGGATGGTGGTAATTAATGATTGGACAACATGAATGTGCTTAATGCCCCTGAACGCTACCCTTGAAAATGGTCAAAATGGTGGGGCACCTGCATGGCTCAGTCAGTCAAGCATCAGACTTTGACTCAGGTCATGATCTCATGGTTTGTGAGTTCAAGCTCTGCATTGGGTTCTGTGCTGACAGCTCAGAGCCTGGAGCCTGCTTCAGATTCTGTGTCTCCCCCTCTCTCTGCCCTTCCCCCACTCCCACTCTGTCTCTTTCTCTCAAAAATAAACATTAAAAAAAATTTTTAAATGGTCAAAATGGTAAATTTTGTGTTAAGTATATTTTACCACAATTTTTAAAATTTTTAAATGTTTATTCGAGAGAGAGAGAGAGAGAGAGAGAGGAGGGAGGGGCACAGAGAGGGAGACACAAAATCCAAAGCAAGCTCCAGGCTCTGAGCTGTCAGCACAGAGCCTGATACAGGGCTCAAACTCACGAACTGTGAGATCATGACCTGAGCCAAAGTCAGATGCTTAACTGACTGAGCCACCCAGGCACCCCACCACAATTTTTTAAATGGGAAAAAAAAAAGAGAAAATTCTAGTGAGTATCAAAAAATAAATCTGAGGATTCAAATTTGAGAAAAACTTCTTGAAGGCCCTTTTCCATTTCCATGGGATTATTGCACATTCTAATGCAATTATGTCTACCTTTTATTTGATTCAAGACTGTACCCAAGAAGTGGTAACCTGGCCTTTTATTTATTTTTTAAAAATTTATTTATTTTTGAGAGAGAGAGAAAGAGTGTGCGCATGTGCATGCCAGTGGGGGAGGGGCAGAAAGAGAGGGAGACACAGAATCCAAAGCAGGCTCTAGGCCCTGAGCTGTCAGCACAGAGCCCGTTGCAGGTCTTGAACCCTAGACCTGCAAGATCATGACCCGAGCTGAAGTCTGACGCTTAACAGATTGAGCCACCCAAGTGCCCCAGATCTGGCCTTTTAAATCCTGCAGTTGTGCTGTAGCAAAAATGGCAATAGAATTAGTCTGAAGGCCTTTGAAAGAAATTTCACCTGCTGTATCTAGAAATGAGTTGTGCAAAATTATTTAGGGAAAATATTCTTTTTTTGAGAGAGACAGCACTCAAGAGGGGAATGGGGCAAAGGGGGAGAGAGAGAGGGAGAGAGAGAGAGAGAAAGAGAGAGAGAGAGAGAGAGAGAATCCCAAGCAGGCTCCAAACTCAGTGGAGAGTCTATCTCAGGGCTGGATCCCATGCCCTTGGGATCATGACCTGAGCCAAAATCAAGAGTCTCAACCCAATTGAGCCACCCAGGCGCTCCTAGGGAAAACATTATGAAAAGTTTTTGTTGTTGTTGTTTTGTTTTAATTTTTAAGTGATTGCCATGCCCAATGTGGGGTTTGAACTCACAATACCAAGATCAAGAGCGGCATGTTCTACTAACTGAGCCATCCAGGTGCCTCTGAAAAGTTATATTTTTAAGTAATTTAGTGATTCTTCAAATCTAGTACCTTCACTGACCCAGCAAAAAGTCCTTTGCTAGTTGTTTCACCATGTCTGACACTAACGTGCCAAATAGTTTTCAGGGATCATGAATTGTATATGGGTGAAAAGAAACACATTAAAGAAAAATGACTTACTCTTTTTTTTTTTTTTTTTAATTTACATCCAAATTAGTTAGCATATAGTGCAACAATGATTTCAGGAGTAGATTCCTTAGTGCCCCTTACCCCTTTAGCCCATTCCCCCTCCCATAACCCCTCCAGTAACCCTCAGTTTGCTCTCCATATTTATGAGTCTCTTCTGTTTTGTCCCCCTCCCGCCTATATTATTTTTGTTTCCCTTTCCTATGTTCATCTGTTTTGTCTCTTAAAGTCCTCATATGAGTGAAGTCATATGATTTTTGTCTTTCTCTGTCTTGGCTTAGGCCAAGCCTAGGACTTGGCTATGGAACAGGAAAGAGGTAACATCAGGAATGACTCACAGGTTTCTTGAATGACCATCTGAGATTCTGGCACCTAATTCCAATGTGTGGGAGCCACCCCCCACCCCACCCCCCCAGGACACTAGCTGGGTGTCCTACAATTCAACTCAACTTTGACATTTTCCGTCTGGAGATAGCATCAGGTTCCCCAGGTTAAGGGTTCAGTCCTACAAGAC